GCCTTTGCGTTAAAGGGTTAGCCGATTACCTTTTTTGTGCAGGCGTGTCGATCCAAGAGGAATGGCGACACCTGTGTGAGCTTCTGTCCCCCACGCCACCATGTGAACCCGACGACGAGTCGACAGGAGCTGAATCCCGACTTCAAGTACGAGCTGCATGACATCTGTGTGAGACAGTGTCCAGGTTGGTAATGCGACCCCTCTTTTTGTCCGTATTCGTTGCGTTAATTTTTTTTCAAATCCCAAATACTTTGTTAGCGGTTGACTTGGGAAAAAAACAAGTCTGATGTTTTATGCTTTGTAAACAGGCAAGGGAATTAGTAGCATCTATACTGCTCGTTCAAAATTGTTGTCTGCACAAAGCTTTGCCACCTCCATATTTCATTCACTTACCTGCCTCTTCTGTCTTGGAGACTTAAAACACCCTCTGGGAATCCCAAACTATGTGGTGAGAGATGGTAAGTTCTCCCTTCTGAGCTTTGAAGGCTGTGGCTAATTTCTCAGCCACTTGTCGAGAGCACAACTTCACTGAGCCCGAGCTAAAGGCGGAGCGAAGGGTGTTGAGGCGCTAGGGCAGTCAAATTTGTCTTCCCTCTGTTTGTCTTGTCCCAGAAGAAAAGAGTAGACCTCCTGCTTTAACCACCCCTTCATGGACAGCTACCTATTGGATAAAATAAAGCAGGAAAAAGAGACCACTACTTTCCGTTAAGAACCATTACCATTCTTACCCCGACGATTCGGGAAAATGAAAGAGGAGATTGCGGTTGTTCTTTCTCCTCTCTCCTATGTGATACTTTAAAATATCCACGCCTTCTTTACATTCTGGCGGGCATTAGGGAAATTGGTCTTCACTTTATTTTTCTCTTCTCCTCAAGTCTTAAAAAAGGAGCAGAAAAAGTTGCGATTTATGCTTTTTTGAATTAGGTAAAAAGAATATCAAGTTTTACTACTTTTTCCTAAAAGCTGGGAAATCGTAAAAAGTGGTACTTTTTAGGTATTGAGGTGGGAAATGTGCGTCATTAATCACTGATAACTTTGCGGTTTCTGAAAAATTTACGTTACCACTTGCCTCCCTTGGGAGAGGGACTAAAAGGCTAGGAAGAAGAAGACGATCTTATTACTCTGTCTCGGAAATGCCTTCCAGTGTTTTCCTCGTCCTAGTGTCGAGCGCAAACCCACCTTTTGACCACTGCAAAGTGGATTAGGTCATGTGTCTTGGTTTCTTGTAGGGGGGAGGAGGTGGGGGAGGGTTGACTAGCTCTGGATGTGTTCTCCAAGGCGTTGTTCTCGCACATCCCTGGGTTGTCTCCAAATCCAGGGCCACAGTTACCCTGGCTCTCGTCAGGTAGACATTTGCATATGAAAACGCCGTAATGAGTAAATTGTTTGGGGACTAACCAATGACCTGGTAGCCTGCAAAAAACCAGTTCTTGTTAAAAGTTGGGCCTTCAAGTTCATTGTCATCTAGTAACGCATGCCGTAAAGGAAAAAAAATTAGCTATTGGTGGGCATCAAGAATTTGACTTCCCAATTGATGAAATGAAATAAAATGTTTCACCCCTTACACAAGCTAACATGTCCAAAGGATCCTGACACTTGTCAATGGGGATACGTAAACCGTTTCATTATGTGATGCATCTTCAATGGAGCTGAAGAATTGCTCTCTTTCTGGAGGGTAGGTTGTTCTGTTGCCACGCCCTCTTGAAGCTTCTGCAGCCCTCGGACTGAGTTGGATCACGTCCAGCAGACTTAGCTGACATTTGATCAGGGGTCCAAACAAGGGATGGTGGCGCGCCAACCGAAGGTTACACATTCGAGTATCCTGATCTAGTCAACTCCACCTTCTCATCCATTCCTTGTTAGTCGAGGCTGTTGAATCGCTTTGATTTCTAGTGTCAAAGTAGTGGCATTTAAACGAGTCTTTGATATTCACCAAGGCATGGCATTCCATAAAACAGTTAGCAACACCCTAGGAACGCTTTTTTGGGTGGTCTATATCTATGTTAATCACAACGTCCCTACTGGCAGACACCGAGTCCGTGGTGTTGGACAAATGCCTGCTAAATGACGCATTGTTGCTTCAAATACATCTGTCCACTTGGAATAAAGTGGGAAATCCTCCCCGAGGCCTGCTAACAGCTCAAAAGGCACCCATTCTTTTCTGGGAGACTGACTCATCGGCCGTGGTGGTAACAAATTGGACGATTTAGCTCATCCCCTTCCCCTTTTTCTCACCTCCTGACCCCGGATCGGCATCAGCGCTGTTAGGCATTTCTGACTGATGGATGTGTCTCTACCAGTACTTTCACCGTTTTAAATGTGAGGAAGACCTTAATATTAAATTCTTTGGCTCTGCTTGACAGATGTGACAAAAGAATTGTGTTTCTTATCTCTTCGTTTCTTGTCTTCCAGCAGCTGATACAATGTCCGATATTCTAGAATATGTCAGCAAAGTCTAACAGTGAAAGTGAAGGTAGTACAGTGAATATCTCCCACTTTTCAGACATTCATACTTCCGTTTTCACTTCAATTAATCATTGTGGAGAATTGTAATCTTTTTATGTCATTTCTCGTCTTGTTTTCTTTAAGCCTTCTAGGCAAAATTACTTGCCTACCCGAGCTAACTTCCCCCTCTTTCTTCATTTCAGAGCCGCTGTTGAAGATGGACACGGTGTGCGTGATTGAATGTGACTTCAAAACAACCATACCAGTGAATGGCAGTTGTGTTCCCTGTGCAAAAACTCCATGTGCTAATCGTAAGACTTGTTTAACACTCTTTCCCAATTCCTGGTAAACAAGCGCTTAAGTAATCAAGCCCAAAACTAGAGGAGGAAGAAAGTGGCTCTCTCTCTTCCGGACTCATTTTTTTTTCTCTCCCTTCTCCCAACTTATAAATGTAAGTGGTGTCATTTAAGAGGTAGCGTGTCAGGTGTCACACTCCACTCTACTCGAAAGAATGAAAATGGATATTAAACACACTCACAGGCAAAGTAATGGGTCAATCGAGTGTCATACCTCCTGGCAGTCCGTGGTATTGAAGGATCTGGCACTGTGGCTCCGCTGCAAGACGAGTTGTAATGGAGAGGGAGAGAGAGATTAACGATGACAAGATGATTTTCCTTAGTGACTTTACTCTCTTCACCGATCATCCTTCGAGGTCACGTTTGTATGAAGGAAACAACAGTAAAAAGGAACACCTTGTTGTTAGGCTGCGTCACACATTATTCCATTAAAGAGCCATGAAGTAGGCACTTCTTTACGATCCGCTTCTTTTCACCCCTTCAGAATTCGGAACTAGAGGCTTGCTATAGTTACCTAGTAAATAAATGCTTCAGTGCTGCCCATCTGTGAAGGTAGGAACAATGGAGAAGAAATTGACCCCCTCCTCCCAGCTCTCTGTGTCCCTCCTCCCTTCTTTGCCCCTTTCGTCTTGCAAATGTAAGCATCTTGGGCCAAAATAGGTGCTGCGATCCAAGAGGTAGCGTGTCAGGTGTCACACTCCAGTTCGACACGAAGTTGTCCGCTTAACAAGAAAAAAAGGAGGTTGAACACACATACACATGCAGATTAAGGTGTCAATCGGGTGTCACACCCCACAACAGTCCATTGGATTGAGGGATTTGGCAATATGCTCCATTTGTTGCTCCCCCAGGGCAAAAAAGTTACTTAGGCTTTTTTGTCTTGTTCATTTTTTGTTTGCCTGAAGCTTTGATCGTACCGAGTGTCTACACATCTATATATATGTATATACAGTATGCAGTGTGTATACAGCCATTCAGAGGACCGCCAAAATGCATCATTGCCACTTGAGGTGAGGCGCGTGGCGGGAGATTTTACTGCGATAACTTCGCACGCCATGGCAGCTCAATTTAGCGTCTAGTTTTGGTCACTCCTTTTAAAAAAGGAATATTTTACTACTTGAAATGCTTTTTTGTATGCTTACTTGCGCATATAGATTGTGAACAGAAGGATATTTTTGGTTCGCGATTTCCCTTGATGACATCTGAGGCTGCAAAGCGGATGAGCCAGTGTGTCTTCTATTCAGGCGCTATCTACATCAATAAGGATTCATTCAAGTGAGTATTTCATCTTTCTCTTTTTATTTAAATACCTGTAGTCACTCCAGTTGTTCCCAAGGGTGTGGCATTGACGTGCGGAAGTACTGTAGCCAAATGTGGTAGAGTCAAAACGTCTTTTCGGTTTGGGCGTCAATATGGCATTCTTTGTGGCAGTCCTGCTGCCTCGCCAGAAAAAATAGTGCAGTGCTGTCGTGATGCCTGAATCTTGTTTCCTTTGCAAGACGAGCTCTGAGGAGAGAGATTAACGCTGGCCAGATGCTGTTCTATAGCGAGGTTATCCTTTTCATCGAGAACTTTTCGGGATCACATTTGCTGTTGTTCTCAGAGGCTCTGAGGCAGGCAGTTTTTTAAGATCCACTTCGTTTCACCCTCAAACTTTGGAATTAGAAGCTGTTTTAACCCTTTTGCGGTGAATCTGCAGGTTTGCAGGGCTGTTGTTCCCCCATCACCGATACCACTGTAGCCTCCTGGAGCCATTCCTAGGGCAGAAAGGCTTATTCCCACCTCACTGACCAGCTAAATGGCTGTTGACCTGGAGAGATCGGTAGAAATTACGGTTAAAACGAGTTTTATTCTGCCGCATAACTTTAATCTGGAAGGGCTAAAGAGGCGGGGAATGATTGTACAGAAATTTATATAAAGTGAAAGAAACTATCGAATTACCAAATGGCTTTAATGCAAGAAATTTAGGCCGTAAATCACTACGATAGCATCATATTTTAGCCTAAATTTTATTATTTAGACCAACAATGTACTATTTTTTGAAGGTCTGTGTAAAAATTTGTAGGCTGCCAAAAAAGGACCTTATCAAAGTGAATATTTTGTAGTTTTTTTTCTGTCCGGTTGGTTGATTGGTCAAGCTCTTAATTGCTGCAAATAGCTATGGCGCCGACCGTTTCTCCCCTACTCGTTTGAATTGGCTTATGGAATCATTTTTTTAACAAATACTATCAGAATCCTTTATGGTAAAAAAAAACCGACAAAAAGAGAAGATTGATAGAAATTCCTACTGACAAGGCAGCGTGTAATTGACTCACTCCTCCCAATTTGATTAATGTCAATTGGCTGTCATTAATGGCGTATTTTTACACACCCACCATCTAGGGTAACATTAAAGCGACCAGGCCTCCAAATTGAAGATCTCTGGAATCTGCATAATATACGCGAAATTGTGGGCTACATTTACCTCGATTTGGATGCCTCCTCACCGGAGTTGAGAAATTTGACATTTTTGGAGAACCTCTACAAAGTTACTACTGAATGTAATTTGTTTTTGCATTTCACTTTGATTACATTAGTAAAAAGGGATGTTTTTTTTGGTAGTTCAAAGGGCTGCCAACTCATGACTACCTCGATCAGCGGTGTTTTGTGCACTTTCACCTAATCAACAGCAGTGTTAATTTCACAAAACAATCATTTTTGTATCAGAGGAAAAAGGAGGAGAAGGAGGAATAAATAGGTTTCCATGTATTTTGATAAACTAAATTGAAGAAACTTTTGGCATTTGTTAATTTTTTTTACAGTTTCTGATGGAGTATCGTTGGATCAACCTCTGGTGATATATCATTCAAAGTATTTGGAGTTTTTGGGACTAAAAAGTCTTCGCTATATGGACATGACCGCCTATTTGGAGGCGCTGCCATCTTTGTGCTATACAAGCGCTCTGGAGAAGATTCTTCCTGTTCGAACTAAGGGAGTCAAGGATCCAGCCACTTGCAGTGAGTTGATTGGATGTAAATTAGCCGTGTTTTTGGGGATTCTTGAATAAAGAGGTCTGACTTACCTCTGAAGGGAGGCGAAGAAAGTGAGTGGCAAATTTATCGCAGTATGACGCGAATACCAGCCTGTTGCGCCCTGTTTCCGAGGCTCCTCCTCGAGTTTCCACTTTTAAATCCTCCTTTCTTTCACTGAATGCAGACAAAAAGCAAAAAAGTTCCTATTTAGCTTGGGACTACCTCCCACCACATGCGTATTAGCGTAGATAAATATTTCCCTCCACTTTGAACCGAAACGCGTGTCTGGTCTGTGGCGGCTCACAGTTTGCCCAAATTTTTACTCCCCCCCCTCTGTCTGTTGTTTTAAATTCAGGATGGCGGCTCTCCTCTCACCCACATTGCGTGAAATGCAATCATTCCTCTTACTGCTCCCTTTACGATTTTCACATGAGTATTTCCTGTGAGAGCCATTAAGGCTAATTAATTACCCAACTACCTACCTAACTGAGGTGTTTAAGCCGTTCTGTTCATTTACTCGGCACATCAGTGCAAAAGTGCCTGTATATCCTAAGGGCAAAAAAATGATAACAATAGGGCAGAATATGTATTGCCGACGTAGAGGGCCTAGGGGGCAGGAGGCTGCTGGTGTGGTCCGGATACCATGACGCCCGGCGAAAGCAAGAAGCGGAACCTTAATTTCTCGCGGAACCAGCATGGAGAGTTTGAACAACTAATCAAACTGTGACAGAATAGTCATTTAATTCTTTCTTTCTTCGACTTTGTGTTATTAAGAGGAAGGAAGAACATTGAGTAGGTGATATTTGAAAGTCTTCTTATCAGTTGATTCTGGTAGAATTGGTTTTTCACCTTTTTTGAATAAAATATCCATAAATTTAAATAGAATCATCCCATTTAAGTCCACAAAGCGGAGACAGATCAGATCTTGCCTCTCCCAGGGTAATGCTTTTAATGTCACTCGTTGATTCCCCCCTAGCAACGGAAGTGTCGATGTTAGGCCATGAAACCGGAAGTGGAACTTTTAAATTGTCTTCCGCTCACAGACCTTCATTTGAAATAACTTTTCACTATCAGATAGTAGTAAGGAGGGGAAAAGGAATGTTATTTATGCTTCCAAGTTAATTTTTAATGGAAATCTGTCTAATTTGTCTATCCTTCTTATTTAGGCTTGTGGGAAAGGAAGGAAAAAAGTTGGCTTAATTTTCCTTTCGAAAATGACTCAACCGCTCTAATTAAGACAGCCCATGGCAATGTCGAATGGTAGATCTTTTTTCCTCTAGGACGTGAATCCGTTTTCATACTTTTTATTATTTCGGCTAAAATTCATACTTTTCTAGTAGCAAAACCGCAAAACTATAGCTAATTGACTTGAAAGACCCTCCTCTTTTCTAATTTGTTTGAATCTTTCTACTTACCTTCTGTCTCATTCAGGCTTGACATAATCCATATGTTATTCAAATTCCTCTTCCTCGTTCTCCTCCCCCCTCCTCTTACAACACATCGTCGCCAGGCCTTAATATCATAAATAGGAGCGCATGTGTTCCACCCATTATCCCTCTTCAACCACATTATCTTTGCTTTGCCTCATGACCTATTAACTTGCGCATTTAATCCAGTTTGGAAAAGTAATGAGCACTTTATTGTTTAAAACTTCATCGCGCAGAAAATAGCATCAAAACATCAAGCACCAGATGCTAGCTTCTAATTTAAAGTGAAAGAAGTTAATTGTAAAAAGATCTAGACGATTATGTGGAATAAATAGAACCCACTTTCTTTCAATTCCCATATGCATACTTTAGTGAATAACATGGGAGAGATGAAATAGCCAATTGTCAACATCAAGCAGTCTATACTTACACGAATTTGTCTTCTTTAGCCGCCATTGTCTGGGAAAAAGTTCATTTTGTACGTTTTCTACAAACCGAGAGAAAGAGGAAAAAAGAAGTTGATTTCCTCTACACAACGGCATTCAAAGTAGGCTTCAAATACCGAAAAAGCCTTATAAATGATGAAGGCAATCAATTCCAAAGCAATTGTGAAAATAGAGATTTGTGTAATTACCTTGAGAAATTTAAAATTCTTTTTTGGCCAAAAATGGGTGTCTTTTTCCCTTCCAAAGTGGAACCACATCAAGGCACCTCGATTGGATCGCATCACTACACTGCTCGCCGATTTGGTCCGATTTCAGTACCACCGTACGCGGCAGCTACCGATCATTGACTTGTGAATTAGTCAGCTAGTCGCCTATTGGCTGGTAAAGCCTGAACATCAATCAAAGTGCGCTATGCTTATCGATTTTTTTGTCCTCCAAGAGTATTTAATACATGATACGAAGTAATCTGCTTGCTTTGTTGATGGTCGAATCAGTCCGATGTATTTCATGAAATAAATTTCCAGCAAATATTTAGATGATATTAAAAAGTTGTTAGATTGGAATTGAAAATTATTTAAAATGGACAACACAATAAGGCATTTTTTTCCGGCTTTGTGGGTGGGCATTTTGCATTTTCCTTGGTTTATATGAGATTTTGACTAATTGCATAAGAAAAACTAATGCTATTATGGAATACTAAAGTTTTTTTTTGTCAAATTGAGTTATTGCTTATTGGTCGATGATCTCTCAACACGACCTCATGGAGAGCGTGGTTTGTGATTAGTGATATTAAAAACTAACGAGTCTATGTACGCACTGACCCAGTATGTTTGACCTCTTGAATCTTCTCTACCTGCAGTCCAGGAAGGCCACGTGTGTCACAGTGAATGCCTCCCCGAAGCAGGTTGCTGGGGTCCTGGGCCCGCAATGTGTGCCCACTGCTGCACCTTCGAAGCCGACGGTGTCTGTGTCTCCGATTGCTCTGAGGCACCCGGGTTCTACCTCCCCCCGAGCTCTGCTGTCTCCACGCTCACGTCGAAATTTCGTTGTCACACGTTGCCACTTTCAATGAAACAAGTGGCACAAATGCAGGAGGAGGAGGTGTTAGCGGCTATCCGACCTGCGGTGAAGTGTGCGCGATGTCACGAAGAATGCGCGGAGTCGTGCACTGCACCTGGGCCGGATCAGTGTCTGGGCGAATGTAAGCATTTCAAGGTGCGTCTAAGGCATAGCTTATCAAGTTCCAAGAAATCCTCCCCGTTTTTTAGATGGTTGTCTTTTCTTTCTGCCTTCTTAACCACCCCAGCTAGTAATTGTGGCGCCTAGTTTACCACGTTGTGAAAGTGTCATTACCATTTCGCTGTGGCAGTTTATCAAGTACGCACTCGGAATGATTCCCGGTATCTCATCCTCCCCATTCCTTCCCAAGACGCCGTGGGAAATAAAAACCTAGAAAAGGTGTTAATATAGAGCCTCAGAAGAGCCGCATTATCGGGGGTATTGATGACACTGGTGTGGCCTTATTACCGAAAAGTATGTGTTGATGTGCTCCCCTACGGCACAAGTATGAAAATTTACTATACGACTGCTTTAAAACACGCCGTGATATATTTAACGGGTATCTCACGGTTACAAGAAGTTGCAGAGAATTGGCTAAGCACAGATTTTTTTAACTCCGAGTAGACCGTGTTTCGGTGTAGCAGCTCCCACCGATGGAACAGCAAACAGAGGCTCTAAATTCACAGCTTTTATTAAAAGAAATGTCTGAAATACGACTACCTAGCTCGAAAAGAAAGACAGAATAAAGTTTATCAAAGGTGTTGAGAGTTTGTCTGGCCTTTGGTTAGGCCTTAAAAGAAGGCCTTTAGTTGCATCCGTTTTTCCGTATTTTTTCCTTCATAAATACGCAGCATCTATTGTTTGACAAAGTCATCTTGTTACTTCATTTGTTTCACAAACAATTGCCAAACTGTTAAAGGCGAGTCGTGATCGAAGGAATGAATTGGTATTTTAATGTATCTTTTGATTGCTTTTTTGAGCTTTTGTCAAACGTCAGGACATCTCAGGTGGCTATCTTGACCACATGGTATGAGAAGCGATCCCCCAAATGTTCCCTTATTTACTTCTTTTTGGGAATTTATGTGCTAGCAATCATTAGACAACTTATTTCTGGCTTTGTCTCTGAAGCACTGAAATCCTAACACCATGTTGATAAGAGATGGCACGTCACTTCAATTCCAATCACCATGCTTAGAAGGCGTTAAGGGGTTGTGACTCCTTTATAGATAACGTAAGTCAACTTTAATCACTTCAATTTGACCGTCGAAGTGTTGAAATATAGAGCAGTAACTTATGCGAAGGCTTGGATTCCAGCCTAGAAGTACATATTTGCATCCATTCCAGCCGATAGAACACCTCGGTTTTGTCCAAGAAAAGAATGGATTTGTTGTCCTAGCAGAGCCCCCATTGCATGTATGTGCTTATCCCAGGATTTGACGCAGAACAGCTTGTTAATAAGGTTGAGTTAGTCTGGAATTGCCCTGTTACACCTCATCATCGGTGTTGGCTTTCAAAGTGCTCTTTTTTGAATCCGAATGCTTGGGGATCATCGGAAATCAAGGGCGTGGCAGTTGTGCGTAGTGCACCTACCAGTACGAGCTCATCTTGAAGCAACATGGTTCCCTCTATCGGTTAAACCTGGCTGTTTCTTCTACCACTGACGAAAGGCTACATTGGTAAGCTGTCTCACAACGACTAAGCGTCCCATCAACATTCTCGGCTTGAAGTCCTCTATGTGAGTAGATACCAATGGATTCGGATTGTATGTTTTCGTTCGTAAGAAACGCCGTTGACTACCACAAGCTATTCCCTGGCGGTATGTAATACCATTGGTGCCTGCCGTCTTGATTCACGGTTTATAGAGTGGAATAGACCGCGAAATATGCTTAGACCGCTGGTAGTGTTGTTCCAGTACAGCCTTTGGGAACTTTCAGCTCTACTCAAAGACGACGTTAGAAGAGAGAGCGTCATCCACGTACTAGGTACATGTGCCAACAGGGGTGAAGGATGCATGTCGGGAACCGCCTGAACCACCTTTGGGGTCATCGTCATGTCAGTGTAGCAGAAGTGGCCGTTGGTATGATGTGCCGGGAAGGTCATCCATTTCTACCCTTATTTTCTGATGTTCGGTGTTTCTTTGTCTACTTAAAACTCGTCATTTTTAATTTTTCGAATGACTTTGTTAGGCCAAAAGTAAATTGCATTTACTCATTAAACAATGCATGTGCCCACTCTGCGCATAGAAGTATTTCCGAGCCCAGCGTCAATCATGCTGGGGCAAATTACCCTCCCTTTTTCAGTTTAAGGGTAAAAAATTCTCATAAATTTAATTGATCACCAACATTTTCCTTTCTCATGTTTGTACTACTTTAACGTGCTCGCTCTTGTCAGCGTTGGACATTCACATTCAGTGTTTGAATGAGGATGCACGTGGAGCGTTCAAATCAGACTGGATGCAATGAGACACTGCCGTAGTGACACTACCATGTGGCGGGGTTGTCGTGTCTGTCTCCTCTCAAGCATTGGTAAATGGACTCGTCAATCAAGATGAAAGGCACCGCTGCGTAAAATACCGTATGCTGATAAAAGGTACTTCTTGCAAAGGAAGGCGTACAATGCGGACCAGGAGGGGGAGGGGTGATTGCTTCAAGGACGACAGTGTGTCTCTAAGCCTTTGTTGCACCCAGGGTTCGGCAATCCCCAGCTTGCAGTTTTAACAATACTTTGTGCATGTGATCATTCAGCAGGTGGTAGATCGTCTGTTCAATCCTACGATTTCCGGCGTGATGAAATTGCATCAACTGTGGAAAGGCTGCAATCATTTTCAAACGTTTACTTATCGGACAGTGAGTGACTGATGAAATAAGCGCATAGAAGGATTGTGAGCAAAAATTATTGCAATTTGTGTACGCGCATGCTATTTACGATGTTAAAAATTCCTGGTCAGAAGAATTTGAAAATCTTTTTACCCACAGTGATCCTACATTTGTGCATATATTTAAATGATACGGCAAATACAAAATCTTGTTGTCTAGGCTCGGTGATGTAAAATGTATGTCAACATTATCTATCCATCACAATCTTCCCTATTTTAAATAGGCAAAAAAGTCACACGTCATAAAAATTTGCTTTGGGTGCTGTACCCCTAACTCCTTGCATCCCTTTAATTGTATATCTTTCCTACTACATTATGACATTCAACGAAGTTTTTTATTGGCCAGTCAAATAATTTTATATGGTCTTTTTACAAAAAGGCAACAAATTAAATGATTTATCCGTTTAGGTAATTGCTATTGGAAGTGTGAATGTGCCATTGCCAAAATTGTGGGGCGAATCCTACTGTGGCCATCTTCTCATGGTCGACTTTTGCCAGTAGGTGAAGTCTTGCATTCTCCTATGTGGTGAGAATGGGAATGGCGCTTTCATCCTACTGATTTATAGGCTGTGACTCTTTCTGAAGTAGGGTTTTTTTCTTGCCCACTTCCGAGTCGTATCCCATGGACGATTAGGCGTTGTATGAACTTTAGTAAGTAGATAGTGCCTCGTGAACGGCTCCGTCTGTGGGTTTAAGGTGATGTGTAACCCCAAAATGATTTGTCTGGTGATAAGCAATCACATGGCCTTTTTCTCGTCTAACATGGAGAGAGATGAGCTATTTCTTATCGCATGTCAATCAGCCAACGAAGAATCTTTATTGGGTGGATGAAAAAAATGAGGAACTTACTGGCTCAGCAATCGTCCTGACTGCCTGGCCGAGAGTTACGTGGTTCTTTATAACTTGCTACACCAAATGTGATCTGCTGCCACATGATAAAGTGGACAAACAGCTTGTGAATCCTTGCAACCGATAGTCTTAGATCACACCAGGCTCACGAATGCTAAAAAGAACAATTCAAAGAGCACCAGCCAGACAGATGGACATCACTGCCTTATGCGGCATAAAATCCATTTACCCCTTTTCAAGTCCCCACAAGTTGTCAGAGGTTACTGCTTTCTCGGTCATCAGATAGGAGAGCGTTTTTAGTCATTCATTGTCAAATGTGGGTGCTCTTCTAGGTTGCAATATCGAGGTGCTGCTTTGACACTTAAATGGTTAACAGATTAAGATGGTACAATAAAATTGTCAAAGTGGCACCTCCACAATTTACCACCCTCAAGCTCATTCACTCCGACAATTGTTAATCAAGATGAGTGTGTTTCTCATACATCACAGTCCATGAATAAGGCCACAGTGAACCCAAATGGTTGGAATTACTTTGTTATTTTTTTGTCCTTTTTGCCGCGAAACGCATTCTCGGTTTAGAGAGGGCACGTACGTGTGCGTAGAGGCTGACCTATCTCGCCCTCTCTCCACAGGCCTAATCTCATGCTGACGTGTTAATGAAAAGGTGTTGGGATGTCGTGAAAACTCGCATCATTCTCTTTTGACCTTTTGTCTATGAAATTAAAGTGTCGCCCAATGGCATTTTAGACAAAGGCTTGAGCAAAATTTCCGTGTTCAATATTGTCTTAAAAAGGCTTTGAAAGAGCATCAGCTTTCTTGCACAACAATGCCTCTTTTACTTCCAGTGTCGCATATATTTGTGGAGTTCTAATTTCCTTATCAAAATTCAGTGTCACAAATATGTGACGCATATCCATTATCAGTTTGTCTAAACTACTGCCACTGGAGCGATCGGCTTTGGAGCAATTAAATAGATGTTTCTACTCTTCCTGGCCTGAGGATGGATTGTAAGTAGCGGTTGTGAATTGATCAATTCGGTAAAACCAGTGACAATGTCAAACTGGGGCAATTAAAACCCCGGTCCGTGTTAATCCATTGGCATCTAGAGGATCTGGTAGCTAAGGCGAGAGGAAATATTTCATCCTGAGAAGAGGCAATTCTACCACAAAAAACAATTGTGAATTGAAAAATTACCCACCTTATGCTGTGAGTAAACGATGCGCCGGTGGCGAAAAATGTGTGATACCGTGACATATTCGGGCGTTGCCCCGATCATATGATGTGGATTTGTCACCTCAAGTCCACACCTTATTCTCATGAAAACCAACCTCTTACAGATAGACAGAAAAGTAGGTGCAAAGATCTGACTTTATTTAGCTGCTATGGGTGAAAGGTGTTCCACCCTCCCAGCAATCAATTAGACGTTATTAAGCTGTCTTTGAAGTCTTTATGCCACCGTGTATAATCACAATAATTGGCATTTTTTTACGTGGCTCTCTCCGTGCCCCAATCCCCTCCATCCTCTCCCCGACTTACCTCAAACATTTTATGTTAGCTGTCAAAGTGTCTACTCAATAGGAAGGTAGATATGAGCTATTACTATTTCATCACACCAGGAAGATGTCAGAGGTCGCCAGGAACGTTTTGGGACTTCACGGTTATATGTGTCCAGAGGAGGCGGTTGTTAAAAGTCTATGAGGTTTTAGTGGCCTTTCTCCCATTAAATCTTGAAAATTTATCCAGTATTGAGAGATACCCTCTTTCTACAACGTTCTAGCAAGTCTTTCAACCCTTGAAGTTGGCGTTTTCATTCTTTTGGAACAAGTTTGCAAATGCTGTCACCAATATGGAGTTAAAGTCACTCTCGTAGAGTGACAAGTAGTACGAAAATGGCAACACCATTACCATCATTGTCATGGTCCAAAGAACTGTAGCGGATCATGACGTCCGGAAGTGAAGCCCAAGGCTTCATTTGTCAAGCCTTAAAGGTGATTAGTTAACTAGGCTGATGAATTGCAACCCACATGCTTCACCATTCCATTGGTTTTTGTCTCCTCATTTTAGTCAGGAGACACTTGTGTCAAGCGCTGCTCGAAGGAGCAGTACGCTGAGGAGAAGCAGAAGCTCTGTCAACCCTGCAGCTCCAAGTGTTTAGCGTCTCTGAAGTCCAAATTCCCTCCAGATGACATCTCCGCGTGCTCTGGACCCGGCGATTACCTCGGACTTGGGGGATGTGCTTTCTGCTACTTTGTGAAAAAAGGTTGGTGAGGGGGATTTGTGAAGTAATTACTGAAAATGGGGAAAGTGCTTTGGTTCTACTAGAAGTACATGTTGGGAGCAAGGCAAAAAGTCACAGAGATAAAGGCATTCAATTATAGTCCTTTCATCTCGAGCCCCCTTGCAGGATGGTGTACGTGCGCACTTTTGATGTACTGGACTGCTAAAGTACACAAGTGGTGGTCATTTTCGTACATTTACATTTTGCCTATACTTGACCTTATAGTGGATATCAGCATATCCAACATGTCGTATTGACTAGTGAGGAGAAAGTCAACATGAACACTAGCTTCAGAAAGTGGCCGAACGTTTGAGAGTAAGTCTGTAGGCGGAAATTAGTTGGAATATCTGGAACTTCAAAATAGAACTGTCAATATCATCTACAGCAATGATCTCTTCGCCTTGTTTGGATCAACTTCTCTTCACTTCGTTGAAATGCCACTTCCACCTGACTGTTGGCGCGGGTCTACGCAGTCACCCCGGCCAATGGTCTTAAGGCGCAGACGGGGGGAGGCTTTGAATCATTAATTAAGGGACAAAATAATTTAATCTTCAATGGAGTTGGTTGTACGGTTATTTTAACGTTGGTCTCTGTAACCCACTTAGACTGATAATCTAGGAGAAGTGTTTATTAAAAGGAGGTAAAGTCTAATTATTTAAATTAAATTTGTCTGGTATAAGCGGTTTCATTTCACCTTGTTGTGTTCTGGCTACTAGTACAAGCGTGTTTTTGTGTTTATTCAAACAAAATTCCCAGCCAGCAAGTAGATAAAGTGGTTTGACAAAAAAAGAACAATACTGTGGAACTTCTCTGTCCTTTTGTCTCACGTATACTCTGCTCTACGGTGTTTCTCCAGGTAGGGAGGATTGTTGATTGGGTAGGTGGCTGGACGATTTATACGGTTGATCGTTTAACTCCACTTAGTGATTATAAAGGTGAATAAATGAATTTGAATCATTAGATCGACTTTATTTTCCCCACGACAATTCTACGGTTCGGCAGTAATAATGGGAAAGATGTATCCATTCATAGAAATTTATCTCATTAGCTTTCCTCTCTTCTGATTGGTAGGTGTTATGGCTGGCCGTATATTTCTGTTTCTATTGGTCGAAGCACAACCTTGGATAATGTGTGGGGGGATTGGGACATGGTAATGATAGGACTGGGCTACTTTTTATTATTGTATGAATATTTCACCAAATTTATTTAATATTTTAATTGGGCCTGAAACGTATCTATTTATTGTTGACTGGTAAACAAAATCCTGACCAAAAATTGGTAAACAGGAGGAGTGGGAGAAAATTGGACAAAAGTAATTTTAATGTTTTGCTATATAAAGATCATGCGATTCCAATCAATGAGGACGAAGGGACACAGTCATTGATTTCATTCCTTCCTCCCGTATCCATCTGTCCATCTCATGTCCGAAGAAATTTGTGCAATTTTGTCGGGATACAGGCTCTACATCACTGCTTCAAGCCCCTGGGTAGGCTCTTTGCAAAAGGGGAACACAAAATATCTCTACCGTACACACATGAATTTGTTAATTTAAGGGCAGAGGAATGGATTCATCTACTGACAGTCGATTTATCACATTCAGTTATTCCCACCTTTCTCTCCTGAAAGTTTTATGAGGCACCGCGGTCAAGCAAATTTGTAATTGCAGAACGACTGAATGAATTCCGTAAAACAATGCTAGATAAGCGTAGAGAGTAGGAAGTAGTAGGCCTGACGATAACTACTGATGTGTAAGTTTGCCTATCGCCGGAACACAAAAGCCACTTTGCGGTAGAAGACCGTCAACAAGTCAATCAGTCGGTGAACAATGTGATATGCCTAACGTGTTTCCTTTTTTCAACCGGCAATGTGTAAAAAGTGAAATGAAGCAGAACATGATGGGTTTTGTCACTTGTTGGTACATGTGTCACCCATTTGTTTGGCAGCTCTCACTGCAACTTCTCCTCCCCAATTGTTTTCACAAGCATCAACAGAATATCACGCTATCATTCAAACTAGACATGCTTAAAAGTCTAGGCAGTGAGGCTTGAATTGGGTCAAGTTGAGCTGACTTTGGAAGATGGTTCCAACTGTGAGCACCTTGAAGCACTGCGAAGAGTACTGTAGCGGACCAATGGACTGACTAACTGATTGGCTGATTGACTAACGCCTATCTGTCCACGCACACTTTACAATGATGCAAGTAAAAAATGGAAGGCACTTTCCAAGTGCTTACAAGTCACAACAAGTTGTGTTGTACCGGAGTATACCAAAAATCGCGCCAACTCATTGGTCACCTGGTACTTCATCTTGACCACCTTTTCTACTACCCACTAAAACAAGTTTGCCGTTAACTTCTCTAACTTGGAAATACTATAGCTATATATTTTATGGCAAAAATGACGTATCGATTTGAGTTTGACATTTTGAGGTTATCCGTTGATAAGAATGGCATGTCTATGAACGCTGACCTGCCTGATGGATTCGCACAAAAACAGGCGGGGGGATCGAAAGATTTCGTTCATTTTCAAAAAGCGATGTGAACCAAACTAATGGAGCATCTTCTCACAACTTGGGCTATTGTTTACTTTATTTGCCATAGAAAAAATCCCAAAGTTTTGTAGATTTTTTTTGTAAGATACTCGTGAAATGGTGTTAGATATTTTTTCTCTGCACATATGTGGAAGACAACACTCTTGTCGGATTTTTAGGGAACTGAGGTTTCAGCTCCCATTTTTCTGGGTAAAGGAAAAACGTTTTCCCAGCAAACGTTTTTCCATTTCTTCTGGCTTCATTCCATCCTCAGTTGTTTGGACATGTACGCACACTACCACACTTGAGTCAGCCATGAACTACACCGACCGAAGGCTGTTCCATCCAACAAAATCTGGTTTTTTACGGCTTTTTCTTCTAGTTATTGCGGTTCTCTAAGCACTTTGCATCTGTCACACCAATAAGACCATTCTCTCATGGGAGAAGCTACGTTTATCTTTCTACTGAGCACAGATGTCATTCCAGATGAACTTGTGCTCCAGGATCACCTTCAGCCTTCAAGGTTCAATCTGTGACAGATGCCTTAGTCCATGTCATGTTGAAATCCCCCCAACGGTACTCCCTGTGGCTACAACTTCATCGTCTGCCGTCACAACCATTATTCGGGGGTAAGACTATTTTCCACCATCTCATCTAGAATAATTTTTCCCCAGCCTTAGCCACCAAGCTCCTTAATGTTCCGCATTTCTGCACCAGACGAATTTAGCATGCCAATCACCTTTGGTCAGAACATTTGTCTAAAAATAAGCTTTTCTAGCTGAACACGTGGTCCTCCTTCCTAGGCTTTAAGTGCCTCTCAGCCACGCGTCCGGGCGAAGAAAAGGAATTATGCCTCCAGATTCTATTAGTCGTCTCATTCTTTCCGCAGAAGCGGAGAAGCCTCACCTCTTTCATTTTGTTACTGGTTGAGATAGAGAACTTAAAGCACATATATTTGAGGTTCCTCTTCATGACCTTTGCGCATTCAGGAGAGATCTATCTTCTATGTCGTCCAGTACTGGCTGATCTGTTTGGTTACAAGTCCTCTTAAGGGGTAAAAGGTCTGTAAGCTAGCAGTAGGACAGCATGCTAAAATTGTTTCATTTTTTGATCAGACAAAGCCACCTCCAAGTACCAGTGCCTGGATATGAAATGTCCACCCAAACACTTCGGCAACGCGACATCTTTGACGTATCTGAACTTGAAGAAAGAGGAATTTCCCTTGGTCAGTATGCGGGCAGCAAACGCGGATCTTCAGGAATGCGTTCCCTGCCATCCTGAATGCGAGGTTTGTGTCGGTCCAGGAAATCACGTCTCCGTTTGTCGAAAATGTCGAAATTGGATGTACCGGTCGGAGTGTGTCAATGCCTGTCCTCCTGGTGAGTTAACACTACTGATTACTTGAATGACTGACTGTCGTTCTGTCGGAAAAGTGGTTAAACTCTGACGGATTTTAAATTTTTTTTGAAGAAAAAATCTTTAACCATGATAGGAGGACTGTCGGTAAAAGTGGGAATTTGTGCATTTAACCGGCGTAGCAACAGGTCTACTTAATGATCGGTCAACCTTGCTC